TCTATTACCTAAGGAAAAAGTGATTAGCATAAGAATACATGCAAATTTTAAGTCACTATAGTTTTTCAAAAAACCCATGAATCGATTTAAAATTTTGCAGGTAGCTTTTTAATAGTAATAGGAATCTATAATAACAAATTCAAGCATTGTTTAAGTATTATGCCTATACATCCTTAAGCAGATTTTACTTTGACGAACATTGCGGTCACGAGCATTCTTTTATTATGAGCTATTTCGCGATACCGAAAAAGGGCACAGGATAGTGGAAGAGAGGCGAGAAAGAATATGTAAGCAAGACAATCGCAAGCTGTGAACTCGAACCACAAGTTCGTGGGTGCGGTTCCAATTATCCACAGTGGCTCTCAGAAAGGAAAAAGGACCAGTGGTGCCCCTAGGCCGCAAAAAGGGTGAGGTCTCACCGTTCCCCTTTTCTTCCTGTTTCTTCATTCAACCCTCCCAGAGAACGTGTCGAATCGATTCTTCTCGACTCGTTTGCGAGCCGTCCGGCGAGTGACATACCGGATACGTGGTTGCTGTGCATTATTATCGTTTTACATTCCGGCAGAGAATGCTTCGCATACTTCTGACCAATCTTAGATTTTGAGGAACACAGTGACTAGAACGATATTTCGAACGTATCTTCGTTTGTCGTTCGATTCTGGGTTAGAACAACATCGGTTCTATCTTCTCAGCACGTTTCCGTCGTACTTTCTGGTTCTGTTGTTTGTCATTCGGAAGTTTCCTCTAAGAACCGTCCTGCTTCTTCTCTACATTAACCGTCTAATTCTTCGAGGCTTGTTAGACTGCAACCCGTTGATGCAACGACATCCTGTCTCTCGTCGAACTGAAACTTTCTTTGAGACGATGATCCCGAAAATAACTTGACCAGGAAGTAGTCCGTTTCTATTTATGCTGCGGTAGGTCCACGACTCGTTATTGCTTCTACACGTGTTCTTATGCGTTCTCGTAGATTACGAACGATTATATTGTGAAAACGTTTACTGGAGCGTGGTTAAAACGAGGAGACAACCACTGGTTTGTAAATGATCGAAAGTAAGAATCCTGTTGTCGCCGAGATAAGTTGCAGCTACCTGCGTAGGTGAACTACGAACCCACCAATGTATGCTTTTTGTTTAAAAAACGTTACATGAATATCGTGGCACCTTTTCCTTTATGCATTTACTTGTACACAAGCATTACTTCGTAAATTATTATTAGATAACTGGAAACGTTCGATCGATACAATTGTATATAATTAATTTTGGAAATGATTCTTGTACTAATTTTCCTCGCGCTCTCAAGTGGATATCCTCGTTTTTGTTACAAATTATTTTAGCATTTCTCTTAGACTATCCATGTTGTGGCTCCATTTTATAATATACTTCACTTCTTTATTGGTCGAAGCAGAAAAATCAATTATCTCGTTGATATAACGAGGAACGCTGTGTAAGAAACAGCAAATTATATAGAAATAGCGTGTAAAATGGAATTTTCATTTTTACTGTGTGAATTGCCTTATCTGAGAACGAAGATTTCGCGCGTTGCGAGCCAATAACTTTAATTGGAGCAACACGACACACGTGGTCCCAAAGCTGTGAACGCGCGAATAACGTAGCTTGGTAGTTAGCGTAACATCGGCTAGCGATTACGAGTAACGTGCCACGAACTCAATACTTAATTCTTGCCAGAGTAGAACCATCCGCGAAAGTAAAGAGAAAGAAAAATCGTTCGCGTTATCTGCTGCATACAGCGGTTGCAATTAAAAGTCGTTTCGTAGATGCAGTCTCACGAGTAGACGCGCTAACTGTTCCTTCGGTTTACCGGGGCATCCCGCGCGATAGTAAAGCGTACGATAACGACTCGGGTAAATTGTATCGCCAACGTTTTACGCTTTCATTTGCATAAATATTCTTCGGTGTACGCGATCTTATATGACTTTGAGAGCCGTGATGCAGAGTTAGCAGCGCGCGCAGCGTCCGTTTCCACGCAATTTATTCGGCGCAGTGCGCTTTTCATTTTTTTCCCTTTTCCAACGCAAGAATCCCATATTGCGTCATCACGTTCGCGCCCCAAGACTTTGTGTAGGATTTTACGACTGGGCGAGGTGTTCTAAAGTTGCTCTATCCGGTTTTGCCCCGACGTAAAAAACTATTAAACATCTCAGCTCATTAAGTGCATTCGCTTGTAGAAGGTTATCAAATAAATTGCCGATAAGATGATAGAAGTAATTAATGAGGGTATACCTATTATAAATTGTAACGCTGATTTAATTCTCAGCATTTCCGTGAACGTAACCGCCCGTCGTTTTCGCATGGTTCCAGCCACGGAGGTATATTTCTTTGCGTTATGTCGTGATACGTTCCATTCGTCTAGCCCTCTTTCAAGCATCCGCGACTATTAAACGTACGCCGCGAGTATCTCTGCAGGATTTTCGAATTAATTGAGAGCTACGTCGTTTACAACGTTCCTTGGGCATTAACAGAATACCGTGTTACCATGTTGCCAAACTCTCTGTCACTAAACGAGCGCGACACATTCCAGGAATTTTATTGCATGGTCGGAAATCTTGTCGACCGTCTCGTGACAACTCTTCGATCGTCCGCAGTTGTTTTTTCTTATCGTGGAACCGCGTGTTCCGTTTCGAACAGACCAGCGAGATACAGATTTATGGGCTTTAATTAAACGCCATTCATTAGGCTCGGTCGCGCGACTTGGTAGCCGAAATTGGCTCGAGTGTCCCTGAAAAGCATCGATTAGGTAGCCGGTATCTTGTCCGTCGTGTTAGACCACACAGGTAGTCCTAGCCTTTCGTGAGCACGTTTAACGACAATTTCTGCGGA